GTGCTTTCAGAAATGCTAGATGAAGACGCAATGTCCCTGCTGATGGCGGGGAGCACATGCAAGGACTGGTGCTTTGCCTGCACAGATGAAGTAGGCTGCTGACAATTTTGCGGTTGGGTTGGGTGTCTCAAGTTTCAAGTGCCCGAGGTCCAGCATGGGCAAGTCTCTGGGATTCTTTGGCAATCATGGTGTTGCTTTCGTCGTAATGGTTTGTGTTGTGAAGAAGATGCGGCCGAAGCTGTTTGTTCACGAGAACACACGGGCATTCGATGTATCTATATTGTCTGACCTCCTGCCTGAGTACCACTTGCATCATTGGTACATGAAGCCGGAAGAGTTCGGCTGTCCAGCCTCTCGTACGAGATCATACAGTGCTCTGGTTCGTGGAGATCATGACCTAGTCCATGGGATGGAACATTTCTTCCGCATGTCCACATTGACAAGTGACGAGCTTGACTGTGGTTCATTTCTCATTGCCCCTGAAGCTGAGGCGCATCCCGTTGTGTGTGTGTTGAGCTAGGTCCTGTATTTTGAAGCGACGTTGAAATGTCGTTGTCTGTCTGCAGCGCAGGTCGAGGAAATGAAGGCTTCTATGGCCGCACGCTCGTGCAGGGGAACTGATGAGAGATTCGAGGACTTGCTGCCGGTCGCGGCCAGCTGCAACCTCCGCAAATTCAAGACCAACGATGAGATTGCCCGTGTTTTGAGAACCCAATGTCATGAAGTTGCAATGAATCTCGATCAGGACTGCGACGTGCAAGCTCACGCTGGCAAGCGATTGCCATGCATACTTGCGTCCACTAACTACATGTGGGCGGCGCTTCGAGCGAGACCTTTCACGGGGAAGGATCCATGCTGTGTTGCAAAACCTGCAGTGAAGTCTTCACATGGTGTGATTTCCTAAACCCTAACCCTAAACCCATAACCTTTGAGAGTGCATGTCAATGTTCAAAGTCCAAAATGCTTTGCCTTCTGAGCAGGAGCTCCTCACGGCGCAGGGTTACCCTGTGTACGAATCCACTCTTCGTTTTGTTGGATCAGTGACTTCGGAGGGAGCCGTCCTCCCCTTGTTGGGTTTCAAAGATGTGCCAAATGCTGCCATACGCAAGATGAGCGGCAACACATTCAATTTGCCTTGTTCAACTACGTTCCTTGTTTACATCTTGGCAATGCTTTGCCCTGCTGATCCTGAGCAAGGCCCTCGAGCGCCTGCCTCCTTGACAGCCACCGTGGCGTCAGACGCAGAGGAGGAGGAGGATGATGATTCTGAGGAAGACGTTTCATGATATTTCTTAGTGCCCGAATCTTGTCCCAAAGTCCAAAGTCACAAAGCATAGCTCTGAAGGTTGGCGGCAAAAGTGCAGGTCCGAAACTGCAGTTGTGAGTGTGTGCGTTGGATGGACGCAGGCTGACTTTTGATTATGTGGCGCTGAGGACAGAGCATGCAAGCGAGCTGAAACTTTGAATTTTCCTGCACAGATGATTGAGCCTCAAGTCAAAGTGTATGATGCCTACGCCTTGCTTTCAGTGCAGTTGGTCAAGGTGTTGAATGCAGGGTTCCAGGTTTCACGGAGCATCGTGGGGTATAAATCTACGCCTCTGAGTTGCTACTTGGCAGCAGCCATGTCGGATGTGCCTCCTGCAAAGCCCTTCATGCCTTCTGAGCAGTTGGCGTTATGTTCCGGAGTTGGAAATGCCCCGCAGAGATGCCGGTGCGTAGTGTGTGTGAAGTATACTATGTGCCAGATACTTCCAAAACGACTTTCCGTAATCACTGCTCTGCATGTTCGCTTGACCTTCGGAACATACACAAAAATTGTTGCGACGTACCATCAACGGATTGCCCCGACGAAGACGATGACATCGAGGAGGATGCCGATGATGAGGACCGTCTTCAATCAACAGTTCGTACATGTTGTGAGTTCTGTGCAGCATTCGCTGCTTGTGCAAGGACGAATCGGGTATGTCAAGCGGTGGCAGCAAAAGTGGTGCCAACGCTGGGAAGTCGAAGCCAGGCAGGGTCCAAAAGGTCCATCACATGACAGACAATTCAGCTGAGTTTGGCCATTATTCCTAAACCCTTTACATATCCCAGGTGCAAAAGCGGGGGCCTTCCACGAGACCAAGCAATGGTTGAAAGATCTGGCTCGCAACGATGTGGCCGAGTATCGCAGAGTCTTCCGAAAGTTCAAGGAAGAGACGCGGGGAGTGGTTGGTCGTGGGAAGAAAAAGGGCAATTTCAATGTTGTCCGCTACCGGGAGGTGACGTCCCACAAAAAAAGGATCCCGATTGGATGCAAGTTACCGACCAATGAGCCGGGCAGTGTACATCGACTACTTCACAAAAAAAGCTCCGGTTGATGAAATCCTCACGGAAAGTGAAGCCCAGTTGGCATGGTTGAGGGACCGCAAGAACCCAGACATCGAGAAGGCGCTAACCATAGCGAATGATTTGCATGAATGTGAGCGTGCGATGTGTGCATTAAACATAGTTCGCTGCATGCACTTATCCCTTGCTTTGCTGCTTGCAGGAGACCATCAAGTTCTTCAACCGGAAGACTGGGGAAAACGATGAGAAGGAGATCATGTGGATCGAAACCGACCTGACTCGACACAAAGAGCACATCAAAGACAGGGCGAAGGTCGTTGAGAAGGATGATGAGTCGGACAAGGTTTCAGACGCCACGCTCAAGGCGGCACACAACCGCCTGACTGGTTTCTTGAGCTCTGCTGCTGACGATGCGCACTTCCGTTCAGCCAGCTTTGTGGACTCTGGTGGGGATGACGAAGTGGCCATCCTGACGCATCAGCAAATGAATGATTCTTGGATGTGTTGTTTGTTAAAATGCGGTGGCAGTCGCAAGAGCTGCAAGCCTATGTTCAACACACGGTCGCTCGTGTATCTTATCGTTTCTGCTAGCCGAGGAAAAGACGAATAAGGCCAGGAAAAAAAAGGAGAAGAAGGAGGATTTGCCAACTGAGCGTGTGAAAATGGCAACGAAGCTTCTTCCACAGCTGCGGTTGTTGAAAAGCATGTTCGACAATGCGAAGACCAAGTCAATTGCGTTTGAGAGCTTCGGATTGAAGTTAATTTTTTATGAGATCTGAAGTTTCGCCTTCCGTGATTTCTGTGATGGGTTGTGTGTGTTGGTTGCTCAGGAAGCAGTTCCCTGAGCTTCTGGAGACGCACGCCAGACTGATTTCGCAGGGCATTCACAAGGAGAGAGTGATGCCTGATGCTTCTGAATTGGGTTTGGGTGCCTGTGCTTGCAATTGGACTTTGAGCCAGATTTGCCGACGTCAATAGAGTCAATAGATTCGTTTTCCGAGGTCCGATAGGTCGGTTGATGTGAGACCTGAGGTGAGGTCGCAGCGTTGGTGAAGTTGACATTCACCGCAGCTGAGCGGGCCGCCATGATTGAAATCATGGCCTTTGGTGCTGAGCTGGAAGGCTACATGCTGCTCGCAACACCGGGTAGAAACATGACGCTGCCCACATCCACTGCAGAAGCTTCTGAATCTTGATGAATAGATAGGTCGTTCAAGCCCACTACATGCTGAACATGTCAAATCTTGCATCCTAAACCCGACTATGAGGCTGAGCGCTTAACCTCTCACCCGTACCTGTCTAAGTGTAGATCATCCCACATTACTACAGACGTTTCTTTGCCTCCTCCAAGGCGGCCTTCAAAGGCTTGATGCAGAAGGATGAGTTTGTCAAGGAGTCGGCAGGGCACGCTGACGTGTTCGGCACGGTTTCTGATGCCAATGCTGTGTATGCCGACTGCAAGACGAAGGCAGCCCTCACCGAGAAGACCACGCAAGTGACCAAGCAGTTGCAGGACATGAAAACCATCATGGGCGCGTTCAAGCGTGCTTTGAAGGATGTCGAGGCAACAAAAAAACAGTTTGACAAGGCCAAGAGCAGGTTCGAGTTGCAGAAGAAAAAGGCGGCAGGCAATGCTAGCGCCGTGCTGCAGGGACGACCCAACTTGACGTCGCTGAAGCTAAAGGATGGTGATCCAGCCTGCGTACGTGGCTTCAAGTATCCTGGCATTTCAACCTAGACATTTTATCATGGACTCCGCGCCTGTCACATGACGGATGCCTCAGACTTGTGTAGCATTGTCACATCCAAGGCTCACGCACTCAAAACGGGAGATGATGATCTTCAAAGACACAACCTCTGCCGAGGTCTTATCCAAAGTGGAGGTCGGCCTCCCATTCATCGTCTGGAAGGGCAGGAATGTGCTGTCGATGCTCACCAAGGATGCTGACGTGAAGGAAACACTTGATCAGTCATTGGCAGAGTTCAAGAAGCGGCTGAGCACCACCAATGTCAGTCGATTCCAAAGCCAGGTCGTTATTGAGTTGCAAGATGTTCGTTGATGGGCGTGCTAGATTTTACGAATGCAAACCTGATCTCTTGTAATTCTTGACAGTGCGTTGGAACATGGGGGTGTGCAGTGTGCATGGAAGTTTCCTGAAGGCCTTCCTTCCGCTGTCAATGTTCAATGTACTCCAGTTACCCTCAAGGTCCCGAGTGCAGATGCCCCCCTGTATATATTATAAGGGCCATCGCAAAGGGTCTCCAGATATCTTCAAGGCGTGTACAAAGTCCCCAGAGAAAAATTCAAGGGTATGGAGTGTGGAACCGTGAGTAAGCGTGGGTGTTACTCTGCTTCTGACAAAGCTTTAAGGGCATGCATGCAGCCGGGCGAGGGCGGCGAGGGCACTGATTCCGAGAAGGTCACGAAGTGCGTGACGGCCATTCTGAACAACTTGAGGGGCCAGATGCCAGCAACGTGGCAGGAGAACATGCTGCCCATGGATGACTTGCGAGCCGAAGCTATGAAGTCGGAGGACGCAACGAGCAAAGACGCCCAGCTGAAGGCTTTGGCGACAATGGCGGCGCCGTCCTTGCTTGGGGTGCCTGAGAATGCCACTCCGTGTGGTGTTGAGAACTTTGGCGTGCCAACAGTCAAGCTCCAAGATACCCGGCTGAAATATTTTCGGTGGGCGCGTTACGGCTGACTCATCTTGAAATTTGTGCGTGTGCGCAGCCCACGTGAGGTTTCTGGTGGCCGCATTGTGGTGATGGCCGACGTGACAGAGATGTCCCGCCACTTCCGAACTTCGTCGTTGTCAGACCTGAAGCAGTGTTTGGAAAGCATTGACCCGGCGACCATGCCCGACGCACTAGCTTTGCCAAGTTTGGCATTCACCTATGTTCGATCTGGTGACGTTTTATTCACTCCCATGGGATATATGTCATGTGAACGTGCCATGTCAGACCATTCGGTCAGCCTCAGGCCGCGAAGGGGTTTGAGGGAAATAGACCAACTTACAGGGTGGTGCCCCCTGGTCCCCTGGTTACAAATAATAGTATGTTCAAAAATCCCAGGAATATACATAATAACGATACTTATCCCTTCATTATCCTTCATTATAGTCACTTACAACCCACGTTATAACTTAGGGGCCCCACCTTGTACACCCCAAACCCCAAATTCCATAGACCCTTAACCCGAAACCCGAAACCCCAATCTTGTGGACAGGTGCAACTTCCTCATCTACAACGACAGCACAGTTGCGTCGCTGCGCATGATCAGTGGGCAGGCGAGGGTTTAGGGTTCAGGCTTCGTGGGCTCAGGGTTCTGACTTTGGTGCTTGGGTGGTTTGATTCTAAGCCCTACTAAACCCCAAACAGTCTTGATTGCAGTCGCTGCGCAGGTCCAATTTGTACCAAGTGGCCCCAAAAGTAGCATTTGGTTCATCCCCAATTACCCAGTAGCGTTTGGTTCATCCCCAAGTCAAGTACCCAGTCAGAGAAATAAGCCAAAGAAGTGTGGTGCGCAGAGCGCAGATCACGCCCCAGGTCAAGATGCGCCCGGATGTTGAGGTGCTGCTACGAGTGTTGCCGTCAATCAGTGATGGGGAAAGTGCCCGATCACCTCCGTCCAAGCGTGCAATCTTGGACCAGGCGCTGTTTGCTTCTGGAAGCTCACATCCCCGTAGCATTGTCAGTCCATGCATCTACGTAGATTGTGTTGCCTGGTCAGGCGATTGATGCCGCGGAGGGGGTTCCACCTCCGACTTCCAAGTCGCCTGTGTCGATGCCTGCTCCTTCCGAGCCTTGGGACATGTGCAGCTAGCAGCTAGCGTATCGCCGAAAAAAATAGGCCAGCTCAAGGAGTCAGTTATTCTTGGTACGGTGAGGTTGATCAGGCAAAGCCGAAATCCTTGGAGTGGATCGACTACGATGACGACGTGATGCACCTGTGTGCCCTGATCCGTCAGGACGAGCATTTCGAGGAGTACATCAAATTCGTTATCTTCGTAGAGCTGGGCGAGGATGCTGATGGGTTCACTTTTGGTGCTGCTGATGGAGATCCACCAATGGTACACCAGCAAGACGGCCTCACCGTGGTCTTTCCCAGTCCTCTACACACAGAGGGCCAAGAAACGGAAGGACACTGCCACGTTTTTGCATGCTTTGCCATAACGATTGCTGTGAGCCATCCGGCGGCCAGGATGGTCAGGAGCTGGAGGCATTGGACCCCCCGCCGGAGCTGGCAGAAGCTGACATGATTGTGACATGGCTGGCTTATTGGGTGCTGGTCAAGATTTCGTAATGTTCCATAAAAACCATTGATTGGCCTTTGCAACCAGGAAAGCAAGTACTACCCCCAGAGCCGTGGCGATGAAGGCAACGATTCAGAGGACTCACAGGGTTGTATCTGGGGCTTTTGCATCAGTGACCTTTTGGATTTTAAGCCCTAACCCTAAGCCCTAAACCCTAAACCCAAGCCGGAAAGGACGCTCGAGCTCCACGCGCTGCGGAAGGCGCTGCGGAGGGTGCGGCGGCCGAGGTCAAGGCCAAGCCCGAAACCCGAGAGCCCAATGAG